CTAGAGTCCAGTGGTGGTGTTCTTTACACCACTGCATCCGACACTGTGCATTGCACTTGGTGATGTAAGGCTTGGATGCAGCTGCTCAGCCATGGAAACCCATTCCATGAAGCTCTCTATGCACTGTTGTTGTGCTAATTTGAAGGCCACACAAAGATTGTAGGTCGTTCGCTATTGTTTCTGCAGACAGTTGATGACTTCTGTGCACTGTGCGCTTCAGCATGCACTGACCCCACTCTGTCATTTTATGTGGCGTATCACTTTGTGGCTGAGTTGCTGTTGTTCCCAGTTGCTTCCACTTTCTTATAATACCACTAACAGTTGACCGTGGAATATTTAGTAGCAAGGAAATTTCACTGATGGACTTATTGCACAGGTGACAACCTATCACGGTACCACGCTTGAATTCACTGAGCTCCTGAGAGTGACCCATTCTTTCACAAATGTTTGTAGAAGCAGTCTGCATGACTAGGGGCTTGATTTTATACACCTGTGGCCATGGAGGTGATTGGAACACCTGAATCCAATGATTTGGAGGGCTGGCCCAATACTTTTGACAATACAGTGTAAGTACAAAGGCTCTGAAGTTGGGTTTGTAAACATCTTAGTGGAACTGCTGTTAGCTTACGCCAGAAAGCTGGTAAGCTTGTAGTCCCTGCTGCCAGAGAAAAAAAAAAGGGAGAGGAGCTGTCATTTCAATGCCTCTGTTTTGAATTTTTGAAGATGTATTTTTACATAGCTACACAGGCCAGCAATACTTATTTTCAAGTTTGTGTGCTACTGCAGCTGCTATTTTTTTTTTTTAATACTTTGTGTATTTGGCATGTTCTTGTTTCCCCTTTTATTTTGATATCATTTGGTATAGTCCTCAGTTAGATACTTGCAGCCTCCCAATGCCCCAAGTTAGTTTAGCTGTTGCCCATGCTAATTAAAGAGGTAATTTTAGAGAATGATAGCTTTGAAACATTAAATGCTTTTTCACCTCTTAAAAACACATCCTTTGTAATCTGCCAGCCTGGAACAAATTACATTACATTTCATTCCTCTTGGTGAGTTGACACTGACTGTTATTCTGTTACGGTAAGCAAGTTGCCAAACTGTCTGCACAGTCTCAGGAGGTATGTCTTTTGCATAAAGCGATGTTTGAAACAAAACAGCTAGTAAAGAATACATTTACAATACAAAGCAGTAGTGTGAAGTGAATACATGACAAAGATTGCCCTGGTTATTACAGTAAAGAGAAACAGGGTGACCCTGTCTTACTTGCCCACTACAATGAACTGTATATAGAGTCTAGGCTTCACCTGTTAAAAGTAGGCATACCCCCAAAGGGGTCTTCAAGGTCTGGGCTCCATAGAGATGGACCATGGTCCTGGACCTGTATAGAACCCTTCAGCTAACTACACTCATGCACGATCCAGTTTTACTAAGGTTGCACAGAACTGGATGCACTTTTTCTATTGTAATATAAGAAGACAGTGAAGGAGATGGCTGTACAGTTGATAGAAAATTAATAAATATAAAATAATTAACCCCTTCAGCTAAGAGTGATTTCTCCATAAAAGGGAGAAGTAGTCTGTAACCTTAAAAAACTGAGGACTCAAGAAATGGGGTAGGTCACAGGAGAGGAGCATGTCCTTAAAATCTTTGCTGGTGTCCAATCACCTGAAGGTACAAGACCATAAAACAGGGTCTATGAATACTTTGCCTGTGCCATGTTTAAGAAAGAACTTGTTACAAATCAGAAATTAAAGCTGATCTCCAACTTTTGATATACTTTACATAGTTTGTTTGGGCCAGCTGGGAACAAACAAACCATGTCCCTCACTAACCTGTGAGGCCACTGGATGTGTGGTATAAACTGTATGTAGCTGCAGCTACATGCAGCATACTGCACTGTGTTCTGGATGCGAGCCGAGACCTCCTGTCTCATACCCAGAACACAGTACAGTGTATCACAGCGGCCCTCAGCCATTCAGAGTAAGTGTTGTATTCTATCAATTGATACAAAGGTTCCTCTAATTGGCTGAGTCGGACTGATGATGTCACAACCTCTGACTCAGACAATCAGTGGAAGCGTTGTATTCATTGATAGAATATATTGCTTTCTTTGAATGGCTGAGTGCCACTGTGAAAGACTCAAACCTGGAACATAGTGCAGTATGCTGTATGTAGCCACAGCTACATACAGTTTATACCACACATCCAGTGGCCACATATGTTAGTGAAGGACAGAGTTCCTTTGGGCGACCCTGATCCCAGTCCGATCTCAGGACTCATCCCTAGCCCAACAGGCTGGCATCCATTGCAACAACAGTCCAGCAAAGGGAGTCCGAGACTGCAACCACCATAGAAGAGAGGGTCACGTCGAGCTCTCTAGTTGAATTTGAATGTCCTAGGAAGTGGACAATCTGGTCAAGTTGGATAGGATTTCTATCTGTCGTGTTCTCATATGGAACTGGGCATATAGGACCTCATCAAAGGTAGCCACTATAAAGCCCAAATCCCGCATGTACAAACACAGGGGGGCTGCTTGCAAGACAAGAGCTTCGGAGAGTGTCTGATGGGAGAGATCCTTGGCCTGCTCTGATCAAGAATCAGCCCCAGATACTCCAAATTCTTAGCTGGGGTCAACATAGACTTCCTGAGGTGGAGGATCCACCAAAGTCTTGAAGAGAACACACAGGGATCCCCATATTGTCCAGCAGGTATGAGCGAGTCTTCAAACACAGAAGCACAGAACCGGCCTGCCCCCCAGACCCTGCCCATCAGCTGAAGTCTGATTCCAGGCACCTCTGCCTCTGGTCACAGCAAATGAGGGAAATGACACAGGAGAAAGGGCGGGATTCCCACAGGCAAAATGGAGGGTGACGCTACCCACCATATAGGTCATAAAGCCCCAGGCTAGATTTATGGGTTAGGTGACCACATGGTACAGGCACCTGAGGGGACAAGGTACCGCAACCCAAACCAGAACAGGGTGGCCCAAACACACCCCACCAGCAGAATAAGATACTGTGGCTGCAGGAAGGCTCCAGTGGATCCAAACCCATGCCTGTCAAGAAGTCTCCCAAGGCTACACTGGCCGTCAGAGTACTTAACCTGTGAGCTACCGCTGCTTCACTCCCACGACCCTCTGGTAAGCACAACTGGAGTGTAGGCCAAGCGTATACCAAGGCCCTGGCTAACCTCTTTGGCATAGGCAAGAGGGCTGTCCGAATACACAGGGTCAAAGGCAGGACAACCTGACAATGAGAGGCACAGTAGCCTCAGAGAAACCACCCCATCACAGTATACCTAACAGCCAATGCTCACCACAGCGGGAAGGGGAGGAGGGCGTATGGTAGTACAGAAGCCGAGGCCTGTAGGGGAGGAGCGGACCCTGCAAGATCAACCACCCCAGGGAGTACCCGCACCTCTCCACCTCTCTCTCCACGAAGTGGGGAAGGGGGGCTGTCGGCCAGGGGTAACACTGTGACAAAGATTATAGGCACCCGGTCATATGTGTCTCTGCCAAATGTTCAACTTGTTGGCCGCACCGAGCTAGCGGTCTGCGCATGCTCACTTATCAGACTGGGTGATCACTGGATCTAGATTATCGAGCCCATCACCCAGCCCGACTGCTGACAGAAGATCTCCGCAAGAAAAAATCCCAGGAATAAAAAAAAAAAAAAAAAAAAAAAAAAAGCTATAAGACCACAAGTACCAGCAGAACACCACATTTGTACTCCTGAAACACTAGGCAGAATATGACTGGAATCCTATAGAAAAAGAGGGGGTTTTATGCCCAGAGAGGACTGCCCTTAGAAGGAGCCAATTTTTTTCTGCCTAGCATCCTACTCCTGTGGGTGGGGCTATAAAACCCTGATTGTTCACGGATTAAGAAGAAGAGGCTATGTCCGTCAATGAATGTAAGAGAACTGTGCATTTCTTTTTTTTCTCAGGAGCCTGCACAACATTCCTCCTGCGGTCAGCGGATCTCAGGTGAAATTTCAGGCTTCTGCATTCTCTTCCAACAGCTCTGTATGGCCTGTCAGTTTCAGAGCTGCTGAAAGAGTGAATGAAATACAGGGGTGCTCATCAACGCCTTTGCAGTCTTTTCGGAACTACAAGCCATCTGTAGCGGTGGCAGACAGGACTTGTAGTGCATTCATTCATAGATCTCTGTAAAAGAAAGACACAGCTGTGTGGGCAGAGCCCCAAACAGCCATGCTATTTTAAAATATGACACTCTTCAGGGTAGAAGAACCCCTGCCCACTGTTACAGGGGGTGTGCAGGGGTGGGAAGAGGCTGCTGCATAGTAACATGTTACACCTTAAATATGGGTGTAACATATTACTAATGGTAAACCTATATTTCAAAAATAAAAGTTTTGCCTTTAGTCTTTAGAATTTTCATCAGCTGGTACTAATGGTATAATGCTGTATAGTAGTAATTTTTCCATTTACTTATGGTATTCCTCAACCATTATCCAACAGTTTTATCACCTCAAGCATGACTGCCTCTGTGTGAGTGTAGTATCCCCCCCCCCCCCATCCCCCCCTCGCTTTTGCTGTCTCTTAACTCTAGATCTTTTTTTTTTTTTTTTCCATCCCTTCTAATATTCTGCTGAAACTTTGTGATTTGTATAGTACTGCTTGGACCTTGAAGAAGGGGACATTCCCCGAAAGCTTGTCCTCAAAATTGTATGTTAGTGCAAATAAAAAAAGTATCACGGACAGTACTCAATTGTTTCCATTTACTTATAAAACAAAAATGAAAAAAATAAAAATGTGACACTTAGGAATGATACAATTGTTTAAAATGAAGTTACTCACAGGTTATGCAGACTAGCAGAGTCCTCATGGCAAGTTCACAAGCTAGCTTCCACTTCTTGGATATTCTTGATGTAACAAGTGGAAGGATAATTTCAGCAGGAACGTAGTACTGAATGGCGTAGGTTACAAAAATTCCAAAGGAATACAGAGCCTTCACTAGCTGGTACACCCTATAGAGATAAAGAGACGCATCCAATATAACAAGGAGTCTTCTAAAAATGAAAAATATTGCAGCTTACCCCATCCTTGGATGTGGTCGCTGCATTAGTTTTTTTATGCCTCTAAAAGGTATTTCAATGGCCAGAATAAATGAATAACTATGACCAGTAAAATGTATTTACAGTAAATGCCATGTGCATATTAATGTGCATAAATACTCAACATCAGAGGCATTTCTGCCGAGTTCTAGCAGACAAACGCCTGCATATTTGGAGCATATTGTAAATTCATTTGCCCATGTGCATGAGGATTAAAACGTGCCCTTACCTAAAACTATCACAGTGGGCCAGGTTGTCCGATACAACGCAAATATACACTGCAGTTTGTTATTCCTATTTTACACACCTTCTTCCTCCTGGAACTGATGGTGGCCTATTTAGGCTTTAGGGTTGGCTACACTGAGGCCCTTTTACCTACCCTTTTCTGGTTATGCCCAACCTCCTTTCCTTCCCGGCAACCTTTTGGTTACAGGTTCCTTCCTGTACAGTCAATCTCTACTTGAAACATTTCGAACTACTGACTACTGTGATTTCTGAAAAAGGTTGGTCAAATCTGTACATTTCCGCAATATAATTTATACTTCTTTTTTTTTCTGCACTTTTAAATGACTGTAACAGACTTTTGATAAATCAAAAAACTTTTTTTAACCATAAAACTATCATAGTTTTGCTGCAATTCTAGATCCATGCATTGAATATCACTAATGGTTTCTAGACCTCCAAATAACGCCTGGGTCACCAAATCATACAAATATCATAAATCTGCCTTGGGGAGTCATGATTATACCTGTTAGTTTTGCAATACCTCATGGGACAAGTAGTTCCACAACAGCTGGAGGGCTGCAGTTGCCTGTCCCTGGTGTAGACAGCTGATTTACTATCTTTGCTGCTGACTGACCTGCTGGGTGTTAAAGTGATTGCAAAGGTTTAACTTTTATTTTTTAAACATAACAAAAATGTTACAATAGTTTTGCACAGAGCAGACCAGATCCTCCTCTTCTCAGGTCCCCTGCTTGCGCTTATGGCTTCTCTCCCCAGCTAAGTGCCCACTATAGCAAGCTGCTTGCTATGGAGACACACGTGCGTGCTTGCTCCTGAGCCAAGCTTTGTGTCCAAAAAAAACACACAACACCCACCCAAGCCCACCCTCCTCACTGACTGTGATTGACAGCAGTGGGAGCCAATTGCTCCCACTGTTGTCTCTCAGCCAATGCTCTCATGCACATTGCTGGATCAAAATCGGGCTCGAAATTATAAGGGGGGCTGGCAGGGGAAGGGTTTATCTTAATGCAGAGAATGCATTAAGGTAAAAAATATTCTGCCTTTAGAACCACTTTAAGATTTGCACATGGACAATGCATCTAAACTTAACATTATAAACACAATCCTAGCAAAATCTGATGGCATACACATTTAGCATGGTAAAACAGTGCCATGTTTTCAATGAACATTACCATAAAGTAGCCTATTAATCATCAAACATGCACATTTTATTCTGGAATTTGTTATTGTTTTGCTTTTCTTGAAATTTAGCACAAATCCCGGATGGGCCCCCAATTGTTTTGCTTTTCCTGAACAGTGTACACAGCATTTTTCTTAGCACAAGCAACAGAAAACAGGCCTGTATCCATGCTTTACCGCAAAGTAACCAAAAAGATACAAGCAAAACAGTTCTACTTCTGGTAAAAGCTTGGTACAAAAATCAGGCAAACTTAGAACATTTACAGTAAAACAGTAAAAGTGAATAGTAAAAAAAAAAAAAAAAAAAAAAAAAAAGCTAAAGGGAGGGATGGTGGTAATAACGAGGGTTTATAGAGAAAGACAACGTGATCTGTAGGGTTGAGCTGCATTAAAACTTGGTCCTGCACAGTGCAAAAGACAGCCTTGGGCAATGCAGAAGCAAGGGGAAATCCCCCACTCCAGTTGAGCCCCTTCTGCTCCAGCACAGAGCCCTAAGTGGGAGTTTGCCTTGGCTTCAGCATGGCCCTGGTAGAATTGATTATTTAGTAAATCTGTTATGCTGCTAATGAAGGTTTACTTGGAAGTGTGGCCTTTTTAAAGTTCACCTTTAAAAGTTAACATACCGTACATGTAGTGAAACATGCTGTAAAACAATAACTCACAGTGATTTGGATGCTTCTATGTATCATGGCAGCACTTACATGTAGAATGATTAATATTCAGACCACATGAAGACTTTATGTACATGTTATTTGGGGCGAAAGATAAGCTGGTAAGAAATGGTGGCGTAAGTATCAAATAATCAGGATTATAGCCCTGCAAATAGCTGCAAAAAGCTGCGTTCATTAAAACTAAAAAGTGGTATTTACAGGTTCCCCAGGGGACTCAACTCCATCAAATGCAATTCTTTAAATGTAAAATGATATGTTCTGATAATTATGCTATTTCATATTCTTGCTGAAAAAAGTCTAGAGCTATAAGATATATGGGATATTTATAAGTGAACCTGTGTGAACATAAATGCGGAAGATGGCAAAGCTGACTTGTTTTTAAAAGTGCATGCCAAAGGCGGTCATCCTGACCATGGCTTCACTACCATTGGAGAGTTCAGACTTTGGTCCATTATTACTGCTGACTTTCTCTGGTAACAAAAATCAGGATGACAGCCTCAGAGAATGTAGAGGTGGGACGTTTCAGCTTCAACTATTTTAACCTGACAGGTTCAGAATCATTCTAAATGTAACCATTTACAAGTAACTGAATGCTGTCAAGTACCCTAGAGCAAGAGATGTCACTGCAGGGCAACTTATATACTACAGGTACTTTTTAAAACTCCAACATTGTATGCAGTGCTTTACATACTGTATATTCACATGCACACTCACACACACATATACTATGGCCAATTTAAACAGCAGCCAATTAACCTACCAGTATACAGGGATGTTGAACTCCTATTGCCCGATGCATGGGACATGTAGTTCCGGGCGCCGGGCAAGTAGGGTGTTTTTTTTACCTTCAGCTCTGCTGCGGGCAAGCAGCGGGGCTCACCTGTCAGGTAGAAGCCTCTCCACCCCCCGTGTGAAGTTCCCCCCCGCCCACTGTCTCCCGGGCTTTGCTTGCCCATCTGCAGGCCCGGGACCAGCTCACCGCCAGCAGCTAGAAGGGAGGGAGGAGAGCATTGCATTACATTCAGGGGAGACATCCAGGGTCTTTTAGACCTTGGATGTTTCAATAAAGAGAACATGTCACCAAAAAATTATTACATAGGGGACATTGTCCCCCATGTGATGAAAAAAAAAATAAGTTAAAAAAAAAAAGTTTTTTATTTAATTGTAAAAAATGAAAGTTACACCCAAGCACATAACATCCCCCCACATATACGCACGTGCAAACGTAAAAGCACACACTGAGGCGCCTACGCATGAAAACGTCAATTGCGGTACACGTTACATGTGGCACGCCAGAATTAGAGCAATAATTCAAGCACCAGACCTCCTCTGTAACACTACAGGGATGACCTAGAAGGTGCTTTAAAAGCATCACCTATAGAAAATAAAGGGTACTGAAGTCTGTCGACATTTCACAAGCGCACGCAAACTTAAAGTTTGACAAGTTGGATATCTATTTACTCGCTGCAACCTCATCTTTTATATTTTACAAAAAATAGGGAAATTTATTGCTTTTTTTTGTGCCCTAAAATTAAGTAATTTTTTAATTAAATTTTGCGGTAATATCATGCGACATAAAACTTTTGAACTACCACTATTTTATTCTCTAGGGTCTCTGATTTCAGAAAATATATCATGTTTGGGGGTTTTGTGTAATCTTCAGGCCTAAATGATTTTTTTTAATCTGGTACAAAAAACGCAAAAACGGCTCTGGCAGCGAAAGGGATCAAGGATAAACCCAACACTCCACTTTCCTGACAAGCATCCAATCAGTGCTCATCACACCGCATGGTGTCCCTCTGTTCCATGCTAGTCCCTGGGTGCAGTGCTGGAGAGAGGCAGGGAGGGGAGGAGGAGGTAAACAGCGCAATGTTAGAAATAATAAAACGCTTAAGTCACCATAAAACCACTTTTGTTTTTAAAACATTCCTAATATCACCTCTGATTTAAATACAAATTTGTTTAAAAAAAAATATCTGGACAAGTAGATTGTCATGAGGGACAAGTAGATTGGGACACTGATTTAGTCCCTTAGACAAGTATTTTTTTTCAAAAATGTCCACACCTCTGAGTATATCTTAGGAGTGTGGGTGAAAACTGTAATACCTGGAGGAAACTAATGCAAACACAGGAAGAACTTTCAAACTCCATATAGCTATTATCCTGGGGCTAAAATAGAGGACCCCAGTACAGCAAGGCAGAAGTGCTAACCACTAAGCCACAGTACTGCCTTAAATTGGTTTTAAAGGCTCGAGGATTTTTACCTTCATGCATGTTATTTTGCATGCAGCACCCCCCAATACTTACCTGAGCGCCATCTTGATCTAGCAATGCGCAGAGAAGCCACAGCTGTCCTGGGTTTCTCCCTCCTCATTGGCTGAGACCAGCAGTGGGAGCCACTGGCTCCCACTACTGTCAATCACAGTCGATGAGGAGAAAGTGGAAGGTGGGACCAAGCCATGTCTGTGTGAAAACAGACACACAGAGTAGCGGCTCCGGTGCCCCCATAGCAAGCTCCTGGCAATTGGGGGCACTTGGCAGGAGAGAGGAGCCAGGAGGGACCCGAGAAGAGGAGGATTGTGGCTTCTCTGTGCAAAACCATTGCACAGAGCAGGTAAGTATAAATAAAAATAAATAAATGGGAAGTTTCATTTAATCTTCTCCCCTGCCACTTTTCTTGCGCCCAATCTCCTTCACATCACAAGTGCTAGATTGATCTTTGCTGCAGCTGCAAATGGTAAGGGAATCCCTGGCTGTCACCAGAACTAGTGTTCCCATTGGAAGATTTCCCCTCTATTACGATTTTTGGAACAACACAAA